TTTAGTGCTTACACACCCGAGCCAGCCAGACATTTATTTCATCTTTTAAGTAATCTTTTCTGGGCTGGAACCTGATACAGTTTCTCAGCCAAGAGCAAATTTACATTGCTTATTAGGTATGTAATCCCAGACAGGGGTTCAGGCAATAGTCACCTCCACCCAGCTCCAGCCTCAAGCTAGCACGGAGCCAAGCCAGTCAGGTGCTCAAAAACACTGAAAAACCACTCGACATCTCTCTCTTATGTTCATGAGGATAACAGCACTTCCTGCTCTTAAAGAGAATTTATGACACACATTTCCTTTGCAAGACAAATCCCAGAGGCCAGGAGGCTTTTCCAGCTGGCGGGAAGAGCTCCATTTCTGTCTCCACTAGAAGTGGATCTGGCCCTATCTATCCACCACCCAAGTGAAGTCTCAGAGAGCAAGTGCCTGAACTGGAGGAAGAACATCTGCACCCCACCCCCACCCAACTGGCTGGAAATCTGGATCTAATAGGGACAAGCAGGGGAGTTCTTTGGGGGCTCTCCTGTTGCGTGTGGGCACTCTGGTACTCTGCATATGATGACACATGACACCACAATGGGTTTTTTTGGTTTTGTCTGTGTTTGAGTCAGGGTCTCCAGACCAGAACCACGCTGGCCTCTAATTCAATTTACAGTGGAGGACGACCTTGAGTATCTGATCCTCCTGCCTCCACCTCCTGAATACACCACCATGTTCAGTACATTCAGACCTGGGGATTAAACCGAGGGCTTAGGACACACTGCATAATAGCTATACTCCCACCAGCCCATCCTCGGTCTGCTTGTTTTTAGACAGGGTCTCATGCAGCCCAGACTAGACTTGGGTATGGTTAAGGATGACTTTGAATTTCTGGTTTATTTGTGTATATGCTGTGTGTGGAAGGGGTAGAAGTGTGCTGGGGCACTTGTGGGTAGGCTGGAGAACAACATTCTCTCCTTCTGCTGTGACTCCGGCAGTCAGGTTTACTTGGCAGCCACTTTTACCTGCTGAGCAAGTTTGGTGGCCTGGTAAGCTTTAACTTCTAAACTTCCTGCCATTGTAAGATGTATGAGGTGCTGGGGATCCAACTCAGGACCTCATGCATGCCAGACAGATGGGCTCTAACAACCGAACTGCATCCCCAGCCCTGACCACTGATTTGATACATTCTTATTCCAACATCTGATCGTCATCTCTGCACTCCAGGATTATTTTCCGGTTTTGACCCAACAAACACCACATCATCTTTCTTTCAGTATAGATCTGATCTTTTATGTTGTTTTGAGGGGCTGCAATGCCAGGACAGGGGGTGTCCTCACCTAGCTTTTTAGGACGCATCTGGGAACATCCTATTGATGTTTGCAGAGGGGGGTTTCTCTTTCTTAGCTAGACCCAGTATGGACATGGAGTGGGATATCAGGAAAAGGCCACTGTAGAATGTGCAAAGGGCCCATTCCCTTCTCTGGGGGCATTCACTCCTCGGAAGAACCTACAGAGGAGCAGACCGTAGGATCCCAACTCCTACCTTCCCTGTTCTGGGACCAGTCAAAGTAGCCATCTCTCCTGACACTCATCCATCCCACTCTCTTCCGGAACCCTCCTCTTTGTGAGTTTGGATAAATGGCTCCCATAGGCTCATGTGTTTGAATGCTTGGTCCCTAGTTGGTGGACTGTCTAGGAAGGATTAGGAGGTGTGGCCTTGCTGGAGATGTGGCACTAGGGATGGGCTTGGTGGATTCAAAAGCCCACACGAGGCCCAATATCTCTGCCATATGCTTGTAGATCAAACAAGAGCTCTCAGGTACCTGCCTGCCTGCCACCGGGCTTCCTGCCATGATCATGGACTAACCTGAAACTGTAAGTAAGCCCCCAATTAAACACTTACTTTTGTAAACTGCCTAGGTCACAGTGTGTCTTCACAGCAGTAGAAGAGTAACTAAGAGCATCTCCCAAGTTCCATGGGTATTGGGGAAAAGTCAGCCATATCCCCAGGAAAGGGTCCAGGCAGGCTCAGAGAGGAGTCACTTGCAAAGGGCTCCAAAGCTCCTCAGAGGCAAAGTGGGCTGTACTTCCCCCAGTGATGCATCCCCTAAAGCATCCGCATCTAGCCAGGCTTCCCAGGCACCCTCTGTGCTGGCTGATCTCATTCCAGGGCAGTGGACTCACTGGCTTCACTTCTCCCCGAGAAATCCATGCTGCCTGGCCTGCCCTTCATCCCTAGGCATGAGGAAGACACCAACCACAGGGCAGCCTCTAGGTCTCTCCCAGAGCCATCCCTAGCACCCAGGTAGTCCCCTGCCCACTCCCAAGGGAGGGTGGGGGGAAAGGGGACAACATGACACTAGCCAGGGGGATGTGTAGGAAGGCCCCTTTACTGGCTCTCGATTAGATACTGTCTGCCACTTAACAAGCTAGCCAGGAGCAAGGAGCCTGGACCTGTTATCTTGGGGAAAATTAAGGCCAAGCTCTGAGCCTGTTCCCCAGCAGGAAGGCTCTTACCTATTTAAGTACTGGCCTCTACCTAGGGGTAGATCACTGGTGTTGGATTATCAAAGATGATCTCTGGCTGCAACGGACATCGGATTCTATGAAGTCACAGTTCATGGAGGAAATGCCAATGCTACCGGGCCAGAGAGCAGAAGCCAGAATGCCAAGACTCCAGCGGAATTCACCGTGCCAGTTCCTCAGACTGGGGTTCTCTCTCTCTCTGAATTTAAGGTCCCTGCCTTCCTTTCCATGGCCTAAAGGCAGACTCCAACTCAGCCTGGAACCCCTTTTTCCCTTCAGCTCAGGGAGAGGACTGGGTAAAAAGCCACAGGGAAAAGCTCGCTCCAGCCCTGTCCAGGGTCCTGACTCTTGGTCAGTGCTCTGTGGACCTGAACCATGTTGGTGTGAAGAACACCCCACAGGTAGGCAAGTGAGGGTTTTTTTGTTTTTTCTAAACCTACCCCTCAGCTATTCTACAGTACACCACATTTCCACTACTAGTTCAATGCTAAGCACTGTGGTTCCTCAAGTTCTCTACTCCACTACTGGACAAACAGGAATTAAACAGGGATGGAAAACAGCTTCCTTAGTTCTACAGCTACCAGAGCGTGGTTTCTGTGCCACAATAGGAGCACAGAATGTGACCACCTGACAGTTATCCCACAAGGCACTGGGCAGACGGGGCTCCCAAGAACCTCTTTTGTTAGGGTGACTGGAGCCTTTGACTTCTAAGCCAGTTCACACTCTTGCCGCCAAGTCCATCGGTGCTTTCTCCTCTGTCCCACCGTAACTCAGAATTTATACCAGCCATGGCTCAAGCCTCTCACTCAGAGGATGAGGAAAACCTCTCAGGCTGCTCTCCAGCCTGCTGTGGGAGGAAAAAGGTTTGGCTGCAGTTCAAGGCAGGGAAGACTCTTTAGTCCTCAGGGTGGACGTCAAAGCCACATGCAGGGGCTCCTGGTCTGGGCCAGGGCCATGCACAGCTAGTCCCCAGAATGTGCCTTTACAGAGGTTGAAGTCTATTTTTAGATACAAAGCCCCTGGGCTGGAAAACCCAAGAGGCAGGGGAATTTTCTGCCCCCATGCAAATTGCTCTTTCTTCTCAGCCTTACAGACACCTGTTTCCTCCTAGGGTTGATCCCAGCCAGTGTAGAAGGCCCCTCATCCCCCACAAGCTTGGAGGGGGTGGGGCAGGGGACAAGATGGCTCCCTCAGGAGTTTCCCTATCTCATGCCAATACACAGACCCACAGGGAAGCTGGAAGCGGCCAGGATTCTCAGAGGCAACATCCTCAGGTCCTAAAAAGAGCTTGGCAGTTCCTGCCTCCCAGGACCAGGAGGGCCACGTATACAATGTTACTCAATCTAGGAAGAGGCACAGCCTCCCAAGAGCACACCTTTTATTTTTTGCTTCCCAACACATATTTGGTATACTCTGTCCTCCCAAGCCAGCTATGGAGGGTAGAGAAGAGCCCGTGTGCTCTTAACCTTGAGCATCAGCATCCAATTCCCCAGAGACACCTCCATCCCACTTCCTCTCAACCCTGGTTTGGAAGGTATCAAGGCTGGCAGGTAAAGATGCTTGCTGCCAAGCCTAAGGGCCTGAATTTGACCCTTGGGACCCAAATGGCAGAAAGAGTCAACTTCTTCTTCAAGTTGTTCCCTGTCCTCCACATGCATGCCATGATACCTACATGTGTTCATGTGTACCTATGGATTACACACACACTAGACACTGTAACTTAAAAGGAAGATGGGAGATCACTCCTATAGGTTCCCAATCCCACCTCCCAAGGGAAGGGTCCTGAAGCAGGGCATCTTGGGAGGCAAGGAGTCACCTGTTAAGTAGAAAGCTCCAGGGAAGACCACCTAAGAACATATAGGACGACCACCCCAAACACACATCCAGGGGCCGGTAAAATCTGACACCAAAAGTCCCTAGTGGAGAACAAAAGAAGAGGGGGTTGTGGCCGGGAATAGATGAGGTCTTTGACCCCACACCAACCACAGAGCAGCTGCAAGTGTAAGGGCCAGGTTGGAAAAGCCCTCAAAGTTCTCCCAGCCACTTTATTTACTTGTGGCTTTTCAAAAATAACATGATTATGGATTATGCCTGATGTGGGGACACACACCTTTAGCCTTTAGTCCCATCACCTGAGAGGTAGAGGCAGGTAAGTCTCTACGAGTCTGAGGTCAGCCTGCTCTACATAGTATGTTCCAGGCCAGCCAGGGCTACACACAGAAACCCTGTCCCACAACAATAAACACACCAGATTATATCACTGCCTTGTTTATGAGCATTCAAAGGATTCTCTTGGGTAAAGAAGAACAGCTTAGATGAACTGGTCCCCAATCATTCCATCCTGCTACACTGGTCACCTTTGGCCCTCTGCCAAGAACACGTGGCCTTCATACATCTGCTCAGCCTGTTCTCACTTCCCACAGGTGTCTTCTCCAGTCACTTCCCCAGCCCAGCCTCATCCTTCCTGGAATCTTACCACCACTATTTACCTCTGAGGGCTTCTTTTCGTTCTGCCGGGGCCAGCCCGACTTGGTACTGCTGGGTAGTTTGGAACATCGTGATGCTGATGTGGAAGTCACGTGACCTGCAGAGAGAACACAGGCCATGAAGGGTCCTGGGGGGGGGGGTCAGAAACAGTACCTAACCACATCGAAGATAGCAAGTCTTGAGGACTGCCCCAGCTTCTAAGATCAGGAGGTGGGAGGCAGTGTCCCTGCTCTGTGTCCTAACCTTTCCACAGACCAATGGAAATACAAAGGCTACTCCACTCACCACTGAAAGAGGTTTAAGAAATCAAAGGCAGTTATCAGCTGGTTCTGTGGCTTAAAAAACAAGCCCCTGGCCCTGAGGTTCTGTTCCTACTTGGTCAAAGATTGCTGGAACATCCCATGCCCCGTCTCCAGTCTGCCCCAGGTTAGGAGCATCAGGGCATTCCTGTAGGCACTGGTAGATTATAGTGGCAGGGTAGGGCATGAATCTGGGCAGACCCAGAGACTACAGGCTAGATCTAAGTTAACCTCCTAGCTAGCACAGGTGAATGATTTGATCTGGAAGGGGTGGATAGGTGATGGCTAGTATTAACTGCAACGGCAATAGGATCTAGAGTCACCCAGGACGTACATAAGCCTCCAGCATACCTGTGGCTAACTTCTGGCCAGGACTATTTTGTCTATTCTGGTTAAAGAAGGAAGACCCACACTAAAGTGACCAGCACCCTGACACACACACACACACACACACACACACACACACACAAGCTTGGCATCCTAGACAGTATAAAAAGGAGAAAGCATTCACCTCTCTCTCTCCTCTTCTCAATTGCAGAAACTACTTGTGATCCTGTGCTCCAAGGCCCTCCCTTCCTGCCACGATGGACTGGACCCTGAACTGTAAGCCAAAATAAGCCCTTGCTTAAGCTGCTTTTGCCAGGGGAGTTTATCCCAGCAACAGGAAAGACACCAATACAGGCTGGCTTCGAACTCATGTGTCTCCTTCACTAGCCTCCTCGGTGCAGGGATTAGGTGTCTGTTTGCTTCTCTAATATGAGTGTGATGGTTTAGAGAAGTCCCTCAAAGGTCCATGTGTCAAAGATTTAGTCCTTTAACTAAGGTGAGAGGTGGTGTGGCTTTTTAGAACCTGAAACCTCACAGGGATTGTCACTGAAGCCAATTACTCACGCAGTGAAAGTCCCCAAACTGTGAGTGAACTAAGTAAACTTTTCGTTTGGTAGTTTAACAATTTTACATATTTCATGATAGCAAAAGAAGATGATTAATAGGCCTTTGCTAGACTACAGGACAATGGCCTCAGCCAGAAGGACGAGGAAGACCAAAGGGTTTTCCTACGTTTGTTTTATACAGAGTCTCACTAAACAGCCCTAGCTGACTTGGAACTTTATAGACTATGGAGACCAAGTTGGCCTTGACCTCCCCTCACCGAGATCCATCTGCCTCAGCTTCCTGAGTTTTGGGAATAAAGAAATGTATCACCACAACCAGCTCAATGCAAGGTATTTGACAAACACAGAAGTTAGCAGTCATGAGGGGGACAGTGGTAGGGACTGATGGAGGGGGGGTCCTCCAAGTTTAGGTTCAGCTGCCTCTATTCCAGGGTTCAGACGCCCAGGGGCCCTATGACTTTGCAGGTATCTTCCCCTCTCCTGCACTAAAGTCAGGAGTAGAAGGAGTGGCTCTAGGTTTTAACTAAGCCAGGCAACATACAACACACCTTGGCCACAGAACTCTAGATGCTGTGATCCCCTCCTGCCACAAGGGGATTGAAGTGGAGGGGCCTAGAGCCAGTGAACGAGGCCCAAAGGCAGGACAGGGCTGGGGTATCGATCCTCTGGCTGCTAGGGATGCTGTAGACAAGGGTTTGGAACTATGAGAGGCCTTGTAGATGCCACTAGTTGATGAGATCTAGAGATGCAGGACTCCAGATTCAGCGCCCCCCCCCCACCTGGTAGTATGGCCTCCTGCTTAGAGGGCCGCCAACCAAGGCAGTCACTGCAAGGTGGGATCTCCCTGGCAGCATGTCCCTTCCCATCCATGAAGATGGAACTCCTTAATTCAACAGGCTCAGGAACGCCTGGCTTCCCTGGCCATTGGAGAATGGCTACCCAGGAGGAAAGCTCTTACCATACACAAATCTCTTTCTCTGCTCCCAAAGCCTCATCTGTCCCTTCACAATGTGGCCTTTCCTCCACTTCTCATCATCCAACCAACACACCCACCCCTTCCTTATCTAATCTACCTCTGAGAAACTACTGCCAAGATTCCATGAAAGCTGGGCTTCTTCATTAATTTCTTCAGCCAGCATTTATAAAGCACCTGCTATGTGCCAGACTGTAGCTGCTAACAGAGCCTTGAACACGACAGGAATCCTCTGGTTAGGAAGTTACATATTATAATATATGTATATTATATATGTATATATATATAATATATAATATATATTATAATAATAAGTTTCATGTCTGTTTTGTAGAGACTTCTAACACTCAACAGGAAGTCAAAGGATTCATTTTTTTTCTATCAGTCAGCAGCAAATGCCCTGAGGGGAGTTAGTCTATTCCAATCAGAGGAAGGCCTGCCTAGAGGGTGGAGTGGTAGAATAAAGGGGATTGTGAGCCTCTGGTAAAAAGGCAGGGACTGCCTACCTCAGTGGTAGAGGAATCTGACTTGAACTGGTCTCACCCACAAGGTAGCCCTAGGCTGAACTGAATGACGGGTGAGGCTCCTCCTACCAAGCTTTTGGGCCTGCCAGTATTACTTAATCCCTGTCCCTGTATAGCCCCAGGTGAGAGGGCCTTACTGTCAGTGGTATCCGAGTTGTCACTGCTAATGGAGTATTTTCGCCTCTTCTCTTCCATCTGCAACAAAAGGTAAGAAGGGTCATTATCTACACAGACACCTGGGGAAATCCTCAGTCTTTCTGGAAAACACCCATCAGCTACATCCTCAACCCACACTTCCACGCAGAGAAAGGATGAGGGCATGCCTCTGTTCCAGCCTTATCCTTTCCCTACCCACCCACAGGGCCAATGTTTGTGAAAGGTGGCTCCAGGGAGCTCAGAGGAGCAGAAGTCTGCCCAGTGGTGTAAGGATTACAGGAGACCAGCAGGAACAGAACAAACTGAAAGGGGCAATGACCATTCAAGTCCAAGTTCCCATTCAATGAAATGAGCACACCAGAAATGGCAACCCGCTGCAGGTATTTCCTGAGCGCCCCCTACAGGGAGGAGGGGAAAGGGGAAATAAGACTGATTCTTCCAGGACCATGCTATCATGGTAAGGTACAAACCATCACTGAGGCCCAAATCTCAAGCATAGCGGCTACTGGGGTGTAGAAATGGGATAGCAGGTCCTTTCTCAGACAAAATTCAACCTACTTTTATCTCAACTTGCACCATCTGACTTTTAAGACACTGAGGGTGGCTCCCTCACAAGACCTTCACAACTTCATCCACAGAGTTGAGTTCCAGACAGCCTGGTGAGCTCCAAGACACAGGCCCATTTAAGATGAAGCTTGCCTTGCTCTACTACTAACTGGCTGAGTGGAGATGAGCACTGAACCCCAGAGCCTGGGGGTCTGGTCCCCAAGATTACCCGAGCTCCTTTTGTGCAAATAGTCTGCTTCAACTGGAAAGCTGTGCCTAGCCACTTCTTCCCTGAGTCTAGCAAAAGCCTGAACGGCAGAGTCTTCTTGAGGAAAACACCCTAGAGTGGTTTAATACCTGGCTCAGGTCAGGGTGCTCCCAACATGTTCTGGTTCAGTCCTAGAATGGCCTCGCCACAGCCAAGGGCACAGAAAGAGTACTTAGGGAGAAGGCACCACAGCCCATCTGCCCCTCACTCTATGCCCCCCACACCCACTGTCCTCTATCTCTAGCCAGTTCTTGTCAAGCTATGGGGTGCCCCATCTCCCTGTAGTGCCACAGAGACCCTAGAATATCTGCTAAATGGAGAGGAGGATTACTCAAATCTTGGGGCCAGTCATGACCACCTTCCTACTTTACCCTTGACCTCAGTTAGGAAAGCCTCTTTTTTTTACCCATGATTCCCCCAAAAGACCCAGTGTTTCCTAAAGGGCAAGAGACTAAGAGACACCTGGCATAGCAAGCAACCCAACAGGCAGGTACAATAAAGACCTCACCTTTTATGGCAGGCAGGGGGGTCCCCTAGCACACAAGGACCCCATGGAGCTCTCAGAATAGCACTTGGTTATGGGTGGGTATGGCAACTGCCTTCCTCGAACTCTCGGGAGTCTACGAGATGAGGAAAGTGAGGCTGAGAGGTTACCCACGGTGACAATGTTTGTACCAGACTTAGAAGACCCAATCCTGACCAGTGGACTTCAAGGCCTCTTTGCAGCTGAGAGGGAGCCCAGAACCACAGCCATTATCCTTTGTGACATCCAGGATCTGAGGAAGGCTGGCTTGCTAAAGAACTCTGGCCTTAGCCCACATATGGCCCTGCCTAGCCCTGGCAATGGTGTGTGTGGCAGTAAATTCACCCCTCCAATTCCTCCAACAACACCATCCAGGAATTCTTTCATTTTCACCAAACAGGGAAACAGTACTTCCAAACCAGGATCTCCCAACACTAACAGCCAGCTGGGGACAGAGGGCAGAGCTCAGTAGTCACCAGCCGTGTGCTTAGCACACACAAGTCCCTGGTTGCAGTCTCTAGTCCAGGATGAAGCAGAGCAGAAGCTATGTATGGTATTTATGAGTGCTGAGTTCAAACCCACCCCTCACAAGGCAGAGGTCTTGGCAAAGACACACTTCTCCCGAGGAGGTAAACTGGATCAGATTTCCCCATACATCTGAGTTTAAAAAGGCGGCAACTCAGTCAGAATTTGAAGAACGCCCTGAAAGGGCCAAAGGAAACATTGCTGGCTAGAATCAGCTGGCCAGACTGAATGACTGTGAGGAACTCAGTACAGTGGCTGGAGCACGGTACGGGTGCTAGCTAGTAAATGCGTGGTGGCGGCTGCAAGCCAGACTGGAGAGTCCCACTGGGGCCAGCCCTTTGGAAAGAATAGGCAGTGACCATGGCTGCCCACACGTTTCTCATAGTGCTGGGTCCTTGCCCAGAGATCAACAGGTGACCTGTCACTTTCAGACCTACACCCAGTCCCTTCAATGAGGCAGCCCTTTGTTTCACAAATCACCTGGCCTATTGGCAAGAAAGTGGGTAACTAACAGTTGATGGTGATGGATGGAGCAGCTCAGTCAGCCTGGCCTGGAGTTGTTTCTCTCTAATGACCCTCCCCAGCTCTCCCCAGGCAAGGTCTGCTCTGGCAGATGACTTCAGTGACACATGGCACTTGCTTTTTTAAAGGAAGTAGTTAGTCCTAAAATCCTATCTGTAAAGGGGTGTCTAGGCAAGAAAGGTTTTTTTCTTGCCTTACTGCCAGGCGTTGGTGGTGCATGCCTTTAATCCCAGCACTCGGGAGGCAGAGGCGGGCAGATCTCTGTGAGTTCAAGACCAGTCTGGTCTACAGATCCAGTTCCAGGACAGACTCCAGAACCACAGAGAACCCTGCCTCGAAAAACCAAATAAAAAGAGGAAAGGTTTTTTTCTTGCCATTCTCTGGGTCCACTGCACCCCAGGACTGTGGGTGACCAGAGTGCCCTCAGTAGAAGTGGCCCATGCCTGTGCACTGCCTCTGCACCACAGTCAACCTCTGGCAAGTCCTGAACACACAGTTTCCAGCTCCACAACCACCATCCCACTGGTTCAAGCCCATCTATGTTCATTCCTTTGCTTTCACTACAGACTCCAAACTCCACACAGAAACCAAAGAGATCCTTACAGCTTAAATCCTGTCACACTGCCCCAAGCCCCGCCCCCAACTTTCACAGGCTTCCTGCTGATCCAAGGCTAAATCTCATCTCCTTGTACACCTACACCAATCCGGACCCTGCTCACCTGAAGTTCACAGTGACTTCCCTTTTGCAATAGGTCCTCATTCACACAAGGCAAGAAGCCTACACTGAACTATAGTCACAGCCCCTGCCCTCTTTATGTTTCCTCTTCCAAACAGAAGATTCTCCATGCTTCCAGACCTGGGCACAAGCTGTGTCAGCTGCCTGTGTCATTTTTTGCCCACTGCCCTATTTTAATAAGTTGCCTTGCTTCTGTCTTCAGAGCGCCCATCAGTGTATTGAGCTACTTGCCAACTGTTCTTGGGAATGAGTAAAGAGCATGCCTGGCTAGATCACTGTGTGAACGCCAGGGACTCTCTTCACACTGCATCCAGGATAATGGGGAGGGCTGAACACACTCTGGTCCTTCCCTCCTGGAGTGTCAGGACCACACAGCCCAGCTGGCTGCTGGCAGACACCAACACCCCAACCCAAGATTCCCTCCTGTTTTCACAGTCCTCCTTCCCAGTCTTGACCCTACACATTTTCCAGGCAGCTTTATTTGGTTGGGCTCTTGGCTAATGACCAATGTCAACTCAGTAATAGGGCAGCAATTTGGTGGCAGATGTTTTCTTGGCAGCCCAGGCCATCGGCCTTAGTCCCCACTAAAGTTCTGGCCCTGGAACACCACTGCCCAATGCCAGTCTCTTTTAAAGATGTCTCTGCAAATAAATTCAAATAAACACCCTGGGCCTCCATTAACGCCCTCCCAGCTGACCCTGGGAACAGTGGGTCTTTCAGGCCAGCTACTGCAGCCACTCCCTGGGGCAGTTAAAACACCCCAACCTGGCCTCCAGTCTCTACTCTGCAGGGACCACTAGGCTTGCACACACACACACACACACACACACACACACACACAGAGAGAGAGAGAGAGAGAGAGAGAGAGAGAGAGAGAGAGAGAGCAGGATTCCGTTCTCCTTAAAAAAAAAAAAAAAAAGAGGTAAGGATGGGGGGTGGGGGGCTTCAAGCAGGCAATTTACCATTCCAGACACAATCTCTCAGAGAGAAACAAAAACTCTCCCTGTCTGAGGCAGACCACGAAGGCGTGTGTGTAATAAGATGCTAATACAATTTAATGATATTTCGGCTGGAAAACCTGTCCTCAGAGCCTCCTTGTGCAAGGAAGGCCAGACATTCAGAAAACAAGAGCCCGCACACTCTTAAACTGCTTCAAACGGGGGTCACAGCCCCAGTCTTTCCCACCTCTCATTAACTTTAATGCCTTCTCAGGGACAATAACTGCAGATACAAAAAGTGATTTTGTGCACTCAGGGCAGAGGGGCTGTTGTCTGTAACAAGTAACTCACTTCTCCAAACCCCAGGGGAACCTGAACCCTCTTATACTACACCGGCACCTACCTGCTAGTCTAAGTGTCCCAAGCAGGACTCAGCTTCCACTACCTACTGTGCAGGCTAGCTCTGGGGACCCAACTAAGGAGATCCCAAGAATGTGATAGGTACTGATTTATCATTTGGTACTTCCTCAACCCTCTCCCTTCTCCCTGCCCCCAAAGCAAACCTCAGTGGACTGTTCTAAATCCAGAGGCCCATGAGCACCTATTGAGAACTTCTCATCTCTTCAGAGAAGAGAGCTGGCTTTCTGGCCTAGTCTGGAGCCCACAGCAAAGGTCACAGTGCACATAATGAACTGGCTGGCCTCAAGTTCATTAGAGTAAGTCTGGCTGATAGATAGGGCACAGGTGCTACCACCACATGTCTCATTTTTCTCCTTTCCCTTTTCACTGCAGTGAGAGACTGAACCCAGGGCCTTACTTGCTACAGGTGCTCAGCCATCAACTCCATCCTCAGCCTCAGGTTGTCTTTAATACAATCTGCCATTTCCTATGCTCACCTAGAAATAGGGACTGTTACCAATCCCACTGGCTGATAAATAAACTGAGGCCTACATGCTTTTGCCATGACTGGAAACAATATTCAAACCTAGGCTAGCTGACTCCACTGCCAAAGGGCTCAAGTTTGTAGATAGGCTTACAGTTCCTAGTATGGATGGAAGTTTTCCAAACTCCAGTGGGATTTCTGAGTGGAGGCTAAGAGGATTCCCTACAGCCCCAGAACCTACCTTCCTTAGAGTTAAGCTTTGAGCTAGACCTGCCATTTATATGTTTAAGCCACATGCTATAGATCCCATATGGACATAACAAGTGCCTCAACCTCAACTCTGACCTCCTCTCATCCAACCTAAATATCTGTGAGATTTCTAAACAGCCTATTGCACATTTGGTGAAGTATTTGATGAGTGCATAAGACAACCAACCACCTTCTAGTCTAATAGAAACATTGGTTATAAATAACCAGAACACCCTACCCACCACCTCAAAGACAGGGGAGTCAGTGTCAAAGGCTTAACTTAGATATTAAGACACAATAGGGACCTGGGGAACCACATACCCATACTGTCAATGAGAGCTAAATGGCTGAGATCTTTGACAGCCTCTTGGATAAGTCTCTGGCCATTTAGCCAGGGAAAGGAAAAGCATGTTGGATGGGAAAACATTTGCTGTATCCAGAGTCCAAATAATCCTGTCCTTAAACACTTCATCTGTCAGAGTGCTGGGGAGACCCTTAGCCAAACAGTTTCAAAACCAACATTAACTGTTAAGCCCTGCTGCGCAGGATGAAGACTTCCCTCTACAAGGCATTTGCTGCGGAACCAAATGCTTTCCCATTCAAAACAGCCAACTAGCACTTGGAACTACTAAGAAGGCTCCAGATCAAACAACCCCCTCCCCCAACACACACATCACCACCACCATGCAAACTTTCTCAATAAATTATTCGCCGGCTTCGGATCAAAGCCGGTTTTTGCAGCCTGTGACCTAAAAAGCAAATTGCATAGCCTAAACATGAAAGCCTTCCTCCTTGCCTGGGTCAGTTTTATTACTCATCCCCCCCCCCTACAGTTTATTTTGTTATTTTCCTCCTCTGCTTTACAGGATTGCTCTGCGAGTCCCAACCCGCCCCAGGAAGATGGGACAAGAGGACCTGGAGGGCTTGTGTGTTCGCTTGGGGCCCTAAGGGGAAAAAAAGAAATCAGGCGAGGGGAAAAAGAAGTCAGTACCCTGAGAACCCAGAAAACAGGGCCAGGTCCGGTTGGCAGTCCTCTGGTTGGCCTCTCTGCCAAATGTCCCACTGGGAATTTTACCAGTTAGAGGGCGGAGACAGTGCCCCTTTGGGAGGAGGTACCCACCTCCCAAGCTCAGGACTGTTTTCAAGTATAAATGTTTAAAGGTGCATTCTAACTATTCTTGCGGGCTCAAAACTTCATTTCAAAATGGGGGCCCTCCCACCCCTCCCTAACCCCTCAGCCACTTCTCTGAAAGCCACCATAACCCCTCCTACTGACCTCTTGCAAACTACCTCTGGGCAAAACTTTGTACCTCTGAATCCTGCAGATGGGGGGGGGGGTACTAGGAGCAAGGGTGAGGTTTGGAAATCTTCAGAAACCCGGGATGGCGAGTGCAATGTACCATTAGGCATAAAGAAAACCTGCGCCCCTCCCCCGCCCCCCCAGCAAGAGGCCTGAGGCCAAGCTGGTTTAAAAAAAAAGTGCCCAGGCTGGCTGCAGTGGCTAAGGGGATTAGAAGAGGGTTGCACGCCTCCAGCCTGCCCCTGGCGGCGGGCGATAGGCGCGCAGGCTGGAGGCGCGCCGGCGTGATTCCGACCGCGGGAGCCGGGAGGAGGAGCCGGAGGTGGCTGTGGGGGGCTCCGGCCCAGGCGTAGGAAGGGCAAGAGGCGGTTCGGGCCGGGGGTGGTGCCAGAAGGTGGGTGGGCTTGGCGCCCCGGGCGGAGGAGGGGTCTAGGGGATTCAGGGAAGGGCAATTGAGCCCCAGGTGGGGGCTGGGGTGCTGAGCGGGGCAGAGGTGTGCAGTAGTAGGGGCACCAGACAGGGCTGACAGGGCCTCTCTGTAAGGTAGACGGAAGCCTCCAAGCCGGTTTTGCAGACGTCCTCACCCTCTGGTAGATCAGCTACGAGTCGCCAAGCTGACCCAGGATCAGCTCTTGTCCGGAGAAAGGGGCGTCTCAGGACCCAGGGCTGGGCGGGAAGCGACCGTGGGGAGCTACAAGTCTGCACCCAGGCGGGGAGTGGGCGTGCGAGAGCCGCTCTGCAGGCGCAGGCAAGTGGGTGGGAAGGAGGGAGGGAGAGGAAGGAGGTGAGTCGGGAAGATGCCACTGCCGGGGGCGGGGCGGGGCCGGGGATCCGGCGGAGGGACTGCAGCAGAGCTTAGTGGGGGCGGGGGCTGCAATGTCACTCATTTTGGGGTCAGGTGCGAGTGTCCCAGGCAGGGCCCGTCACTAGCCCACTGCTCCTAGGTACCACCCAGAGTGTAAGGGCCGAGGGCAGGGAGCTGAGCTGCAGAGTAGTCCCCGAGGCGGGACGCGAACCGGCAGAGTTGGGAGAAGGTAAACAAGGGCCACGCCCCCTGCCGTCGCCCCGCGAGCGCGCACCCGCCGCTCCGGCCGACGCCGGTACATTTCCACTCTAGCAGTGACTCTCCCCCGCCGGACTCCCGCGCAGCCCCGAACGGCTGCTGTCCCTTACCCCAGTACACACCCTGGCTACCTGGACTGCGTACCCTGCACTCACCTGGGAAGGTTGTCCCCTGCCCCTCAAAAAAAAAAAAAAACCCAAAAACCAAAAAACTAATTTGTGCAATGCCTCTGAGCCCAGGAACCGAGCATGCTGCCCCCGCGTGCAGCGCCCGCGTGCACCCAGCCTGGAAAGGGGGCGCAGGGCGGAGGCGGTGGCCCCCGGAAGGTGTCTAGGACTGGACCGGCTGCACGTGAGCCCAGCGCGGGGTCATGTGCATCGGCTCAGCCCGGTTCGGCACCCGGACGTGCTGCGTATCAACAAAATGAAACTCGGGGAGACAGAAGGGCAGATAGCTCCAGGTTTCCCGTGCTCCGGCGCCCTGCCGCTCGGCCTCCCCACCCCGCACCCCGGTCGCGCCGCAGCCCCTCGGGCCGGCCAGAGTCCGCGAGGCAAGTTGCAGCCCCAACACCCCCACCCGCCCGCGCCCCCTCGCTGGGCCAGGGGCGCTTTGCCGCAGTCATTAATAAAGAAGGTCGCCAGGCTCACCCTTCCAAAAGTTGTTGCATGCGCCCCTCTCAGCCTCCCCGCACTGTACTCTTTAAAACACGGCTGACCAACATGCGCAATCTCTCTCCCCAGTGCTGTGCGTCCCCCCCACCCCCCGCGCTAGCTTCCTAGAACAGGCAGCCAGCAAGAGAGAGAGGGAGCGAGTGAGCAAGAGAGAGAGGGAGCGAGGAGCTCTGGCAGATCTGTTGCAAAAAAAAAAAAAAAAAAAAAAAAGCCCACAAAATAATACCGTGGAGATGCGCAGGGCCCATCCGCCGGGGGCTGGCTCTTACCTTGCTCCGCGATGCCCTCCCGAGGGGCGCTGCCCTCGGCTACGCGCCGCGGCGGGGGCCGGCGCGGGAAGGATGCTCCCGAAGCCAGGAGCTCCTGGGGCCGGCGCGGGAGGGCGGGGGGCGCGCATCCATCCGGGGTCGTGGCGAGGGAGGCGACCGAGCCGCGGCGTTCCCAAGCCCGGCACCCCTGCTGGGAAGACGGTCAGCCCTCCATCCCAGAGCTGGTGCCTTTAGGAGTGGGCGCAAAGTAACTCCATGGACGCTACTCACCCCCCCAAAAAAATAGCCTCCAACTGCGATGGCCGCGGTCGGCACCATTCACCAACCCCCTGTGTATGTTTCTGTTTCTTTTTAAACCAAGACTTCCTTGTGATCTCTTTAGAGGAGAAAAAAAAAAATGTGTTGGGGTGGGGGTGGGGTGGGGGCGGGCAGGAGGAGAGGGAGGGGGAGTAGCCACTTTTTTCTAATTCACTCGGATCTCCGCTCCCGGCACCCCCCCTTGCTCTGCCCCCCCCCCCGCCCAGTTGTTTGGCTCCGGCGACAGTCCCAGGTAGCGTTGCGGGCCCCCCCCGGGGGGGTTCTCTGCATGGTCCCCCGCCCGCTTGCACTCGGGCCCGGACTCCTCGTGGACTCCGGGGCGCCCCCAGCCCGCCCTGTCCCCAGGGCCGGGCCCGAGCGCCGGCTGAGCCCGTGCAAGTCCCATCAGGTCGGCTCACACTTCACACACTCACACATATACCCCGCCCCTCCACTCGCTCACTCACACTTTCTGCTCACACCCCGCCCCCTTCGCGCCCCAGACCCAGGCGGAGCCCCCCGCAACCTTAAAAAAAAAAAAAAAGCAAGCTTATACTTAAAAAAATCTTTTGGCGCCATATTAATGACGTACTTAAAATTTGCCATTTCTCCCTGCGTCAAAAAGACGTTTCTTTGCAAATAACAGCCTGGAGGCGACACACGCGGAGGAAACGAGGCTTGCACGGAGTACCCCGCCCGCTTGCCCCCCCCCCCCGGACTCCGGTGCTGGAAGACCCTCGCCCTCCACCCGGTTTCGGAATCACTGGTTTTAAAATCGGAATCGAATAAATCGCGTGGCGGTTTTTTTTTTTTTTTTTTTTTTTTTTTTTTTTGCAGCGCCAGAAGTGAGCAGAAAGTGCTGGCAGGAGTGCAGGGGAGGGGCGCGCATGGGGCTGGGGGAGGGGGCGCGGTCCTCCTCCCCCACCCGCACCAAATGCAAACTAGCATCCTAGGTTGGGAAACTTGAAATTGTGGGCGACCCCCCGGAAGAGAGGGGCTGCCATGGGGGGGTCCTTCCTCGGGCTCGTTGCCCCCTCCCCCTCGCGGGTGCCTCCTGACGCCCGGTGCTGCCCTGCATTTCCGGGGGGGGGTGAGGCGCTGTGATGGGTGGGTGGCTAGCGGGGTGGCAGCACGTCCTAGCCTCAGGCGGAGTTTGCCCCTGGGCACCCCCTTCCTTTTGCCTCGTGCCTCTTACAACCGCAAAGGGTTAAAAACCGAGGGGCAACTTCCCTGGGCTGATACTTGGCGGAGAAGCGGGGCGCCCCTCTCCCCACCCTCTCCTCCTCGCCCCTCCTCCTCCGACTCCACTTCCCGACTTGACCTTGTGGTGCACAAACAGTGCTCTCCAATCCTCGCAGTTTCTGGAAGAAGAGCCTGCGCTCGCCAGGCGGGCGGGCTGTCGGGCGGCTAGCCGGCAGTGGCGGAGCCTGGGTCGGTTCCCTGAGCTGCGGGCCACACCCACCCAACCCGCTGCGCCCCGGGAGCTCACCTTCTCTCTAGGAAGGAAAAGGGCAGGCTGCCTGGATGGGTAGGCACGTGGGGGGCAACCTTCTGCCTCCTGGGAATGCTCCAGCTGGGGAGGTTGGCTGATTTTGGGCTGAGGTTTGGGGAAGCCTGGCCCAGCATCCCAAACCATTTCCTCCTTGCCAACGTTTTCTGCCGCCTCCAAGATAATCCAATGATTTTTTTTTTCTTCCTAACTCACCTTTTTTGAAGGCAGGTGGATGAATTTTAAATCCCTTTACCTCTCCAAGACTGAAGGTTGTTTATTTTTCCTTTCCCCTCTACCCTCCCTTACATGGAAAGATAAATATTCAATTTACATAAGATGACATTTATGTGACAATTAAGAAGATTCCCCGACGGAATGTTGTGAACACATTTGCTTATAGGAGAAATAAATCTAATAATAAACGAACTCATAACAGCTCAAATCCTCTGACAAGGAGGTTGTCTACGAAACAAAGAGGGGCATGATGGATGCCGAAATAAGCTTTTTCTGCAACAAGAAAGAAATATGAACTCAAAGGGAGCCACCAGCAGAATTTCTCTCCGTTGGCCTTCATTCACAAAGTTCGAAGAGGCTTGTTTGGCAAGAGGAGGGGCTCATTATCTCCTCACGGTTAACCCTGGCTAGGCTCTGGTTCTCACTGGTCCACTGAGATTTTCCCAGGTCAGGGTCAATGTCTGCTAACAGGTGTTGCAGACTGGGGGTGCCTTATAGCATGGTTAATGGCTAGTAACCCTGGCTCTCCTTTTCAGAAGGCTGTGTGAAAGCAGGCCAGTGAAAAATCTCTCTGGATCTATTTTTTCACCTTGGTGAGCTGAAGATTCCAGGGATCACATGTGTACATACCCATGTATATAAATATGTAAATTTACATCCTGGATGAGGAAAGCAGGACCTGGTTAAGAGTGCATAGTGTACCTGATTGCTTTGCAAATGTGTTCTTTCTTATAAACTCTGTTTTTTAAATTATTTTTAATTATGTGTAGGTGTCCGTACACCTACTTTTAATTATGTGTCAGCACAAGGGCAGGTGTGCATGAATGCAAGGTGAGGCAGGCCAGAGGTGTGGGATGCCCTACAGCTGGAATTACAGATGTTTGTAAGCCACCTGAACTCAGGTACTTTGGAAGAGCTGTAAGTGCTCCTGACCACTGAGCCATCTCTCCAGCTCCTGCTTTTTGTATTTGCTGTTGTTGCTCATGTTTGAGGCCAGGGCCTTGTCCATTCTCTCTGAGAACAAGAGGACAATGCTGCCTATCTTTTCCTCTGAGGATACATACAAGAACTCCCAGTTTGGACAGAAAGAGGACTAGAGGAAACTGTCAGAAATAATGGGCTATATGGTCAAAGCCCTGACATCTGTGCTAGCCATGAATCTGAAATGTAGGTTGAGGCACAATGGTATAGAGACAGAGCCCAGGTTTGGTCTGTTGCTTGGAACTACTATGCAGGACGGGACAGGACAGAAGAGGGCGTGAGATACCCTAGAGCTGGAGTTACAGGCTTTGTCAGCCCCTTGACTTGAATGCTAGGAACAAAACTCCAGTCATCTGCAAGAGCAATGAAATCTTAACCGCTGAGTCATCTCTCCAGCCCTGAAAATAAGTAAATAAGCAAAAAACTTAAGGTAGGATCTTACTGAATAATCAAGTGTGAGCCCAGACTAGCCTCAAATTCACTGTGTAGCCCAGGTTGGCCTCAAATTCTCTGCAGTCCTTATGTCTCAGATTCCCAAATGCTTGGATTACAGGTGTGTGGTGGTGTGTTTGTAGGTAATTGTTACATTAAAAAAATTCAATTAGTAAAACAGCATAGGGGTACAATTGTAACTTTTTTTGAGATTTATTTTATGTGTATGGATATCTTGCCTACATGCATGTGTTTCATATGTGTGCATTGCCTGCAGAGGTGAGAAGAAGGCATCAGATCTAAGGATACCGTTTTAAATTGGATGGTCTGAGAAGATGGCTGGTGAGGAGTGAGCTGTAGTGTGTGTGTGTGTGTGTGTGTGTGTGTGTGTGTGTGTGATGTGTGTATGTGCAGGGGGGAGGAGCATTCTAGAGTACCCCCCCCATAGGTCTGTGGGAAGAATTCAGGGGGCTTGAATTTTGATGGGAAAAAAGATCACATCCTCATTTCCATCAATAAAAGGTATCCTGTTCTTCAATTATGAATAGAGACAACAAATCTTCACTATTAGCTGCACCTGTGACATCACTATTGGTGAAAAATCACAGGTATTTTCATACCCCATTACATTTTTTACTAATACCCTAAAATACCATTACACATCACTATTTCAAATTATGCTGCTCTTGTAATTTAATAAAGTACACATATTAGTATGTTACACATTTAAAAAATATTGTGAGAGTTATATTTCAATATAATCAGGTTTCTTCATAATTTATAGAGCTTACTTCAAGGGCTGTAGGATGGTGGCTCACACCTACTGTCTTACTACCTAGGGGGCTAATGGAGGAGGATCAGGAGTTCAAGGTTCTCCTAGACTATATAGTAAATTTGAGGTCAACCTAAGCTACATAAAGTCCTGTATTCAATTCCCAGTATTGCAAAAATAATAAGGCCTTGTACTCAAGAGGAATCTGTAGGTCTCAGAGTACAGGAGTCCATGGCATAAACAAGGTTAAGGGTCTTGCATATAGATGCTCTTGGACAAGAGTGTGCCTCCTGTAAAGGGGGAGATGTTATAGGGCCTTTTGGGAACTTGTTAGGGCTTTGGTCTTTTGGAGTGACATGGAGGGGTTTGAGCAGAAAAGTGTCATGACCTGACACTAGATTTTACAGGTCCAGGGGTCACTTGAAGAGCAGACTGGACGTTCAAGGCTGAACCGGGAAGTGCATTCAGGATGGTGACCGAGGCTCCCTTGGGCCAGAATAGTAGCAGTGATCATTGGTGAAGTGGGCAGGTTCTGTATGTATTTTAACAGAATTTGCTGATAGAACAAGAAAGAGAACAGTTTAGAAAATCAGAAGGGCTTAGTGGGGAGAGGCTCTTTCAAACGACTCTCACTACCTGAATTCAATTTCTGGAATGTACTCGATGGAGGGAGAGAATCAATTCCTGCATGCTGTCCTTGACTTCCATGTGCATGCTGTGGCGTGTGCACACGCATGCATGCCCACACATGCCCATATACATACAAATAAATAAAATATAATTTAAATGTTTTAAGTAAAGGGACAGCTACAAGAGTTTTGTCTTAAGTCAATGGGAGGATGAATTTTCTGTTCCCTGGGATGAAGAAAATGGAAGGAAGAGGTTTGCGGAGGAAAGGAGATCCTTTTTGGACATACTAAGCCTGAGGTGCCTGTTGAATGTCCATCTTTCGGCTTCTCATAGGCAGCTAGATATGGCAAACTGGAGGCTGATGGGTGCTACATAAAGCTGTAGGGCTCTCCTAAGAAGCATGGAAAGAGGAGGGCAAGGATGATGCACTTGGTGCCACGAGGCTAAGAGATGTGGAAGACAAGGACTCAATAAAGGTACCACGAAGAAAGAGAGGAAGAAGGGACTGAGGGTGTAGCTCAGTTGGTAGAGAGCTTGCCTGGCACA